AAACCAACTGATATTTGCTTCAGAATAGTCCTAATTAATGAAACCTTCGAGTCCTTTTATGTTTTATTTATCTTATCAATAAATAGATTACTTACTATTACGAGAAATCAGTAATTGTCTAATATTTTCCAAAACATCTATAAATTTTTGAATTCTGCAACTCCAGTAAACTATGGTTTGTGTATAGACTATTTCTAAATAAATAAAAAGAGCTGCAATAGGTGAAAAACCAAGGATCGTCTTTCATACAGATTTTGCACTTCAAATTCATTTTTTTATGAACTAATGTTTTGTAATTCACTATTTTTTAAATCAAATTTGCCATGTTAAGTCTAAGATCTCGATTTAGAACTTCATGAAAAGATAATTATATTTTTTTTATTTAATAATACTTTTTTGTGTTTCAACAAATGCAACAAATAAATATAAAATTACTGACTTATTTGGTATAATGGTGAACTCATTCGAAATAACCCTCATGTGACTTTTTTATGAAAAAATGTTGTTGTTGATGAGGCAATCGTTTGATATATCTTTTCAGTTACTGTATTTTTTTAATCGTAAGGGGGAATATATTGGGCCATTTTAGACTATTTCAAATGAACTTACCACCCCGCAAGTAATTCCATTTGTTGGTTTGCAAAAGGAGGATTTTCGGATTCCAGAACAATGTCCCCTTGAATCTGTATTAGCTTCTAAAAGCGTAAACGACGTATTTTTATTAAAATAAATTTTAAAAGTTATTTTTTTTAATATGGCTATATACTACTTATGTATATTGACAAAGATAGTATCTAGAATCCTTTATATTCTGGATTTAATAAGTAATAAATTTTCGAATATATTTACCATAATATGAAATAAAATATGCTAAAGAAAAAGAAAATAATTATAGTCAATGTAAAATTACAAAGAAAGAGGTTAAAAAAGTACATAAACTTGATACCAGTGAAATTTACATAAAAAAAAAGTTTTCCTAAATATTTAGTTGAGCTACATTTCAATTAATGATTTGAAAAGTAACTATTTATTTGGATAAATCTGCTTTCATCTCTAAATTCTACGCTTGTCCTACCATTAAAGAATGTGTTAAATATATAGTTTATATAATTAAGCATATTTATGAGCTGATAGAAAAATTTCAGTTGTTTTATAATTCTACATAGATCTGCATTATATTTTCCTATGTCTGTTCTATTTTATTATTTTGCGTGCAACTAGTAGTTTATATGAAAATTACCTCTAAATAGTTACAAAATGTCATTTTCATTGTAATCATTGTTATTTTTAGTTAATGTAATTCAACATTAAACTATTTTCTCTCCAGTAGTCGCATTTAACATCTCGAAAGCTTTCTGTTATTATTATTGATATAATACTCGTCATTTGTATTTATTTATTGAATATGATATGAATATAGTTACAATATTGTTGTTTAACAATGCGCGTACAAATTAACGCGTCTTTTCAATCCCCAAGATCAATTAATTCTCTTCGTACCTCAATTAAAGTTATCTGATCTATGGCGTCGTAAAGTGATAAATATTTAATACATGGGAGTTGCTTTTCTTTCATAGTTCGTTTGCATAAAATTATACTGCAATAAGTTAATGGCATGCTATTTATTTTCTTAATAACAGAATAAATGCAATATGATATTCTAAGAAATAAGTTACGTAGGTGCTTATAAGTCGTTGGGTGTAAAAAAATTATTTGTATATCATTAATTTATATAATCAATTAAAATATTACATTCATCATGTATGGTAATACAAAATTATACAAAATTAACCCATTAAATTGCGATATAACGAGCGTTCAAATAAAAACGTGTCAAGTTGGTTCTGAAAATTTGAACGTAGGGCGTAGCGTATAGCAAATGAACTTAAACGTCATCTGTCAAAGCGCTGTATCGCCGCTTTGTTATTGAAACTGACAGCTGCTATACAGCTCGTTGAGAAATGAGGTTAAGTTGGTCGCTATAAGCTACGCCCTAAGTCCAATGTGTCAGAGCCAACTTCGACCACGTTTTTATTTGAACGCTCGTTATATAGAGTCATAACATAATTGATTTCCATGGAAAGAGTGTCTTGGAAATTAATTGTAAATACGTCAAAGTTGTGTTATATACACACTAATTTGTGAAAATATTGTGTAAACTGTTTGCAAAAGAAAATGGAGTGTCATAAACGAACATTTCCGACGTATCCTTCTGTTTCAGTCCAAAAGAGGACTTAAAGCATCTTATGCTGCTTGAACCATTTATGCCGCTTACGGATAGAACGCATTGGGGAAAGACCATTTCGAAAGTATAAAAATGGTGTCCTCGCTTCAAAAAGAGCCATTTTGACATGAACGTTCTCCAGATTCAGAAAGTCCATCTGACGTTGATGAAGATCCCTTGTAGAATTTATTTCACGACAATCTACATTAATCCATACAACAATTGGTCAGTATCAATCGTAATCTAACATATATACACAAAGTCTAATAATGACCTAAATCCAAACTAACCTAGATAAATGTTTTGTACGCTCGTTTACTTCCGGTTGGTGGTATTATTTAAATCATTTAATCCGGCAGATATAATTAATGTGAAAGAAACCTACATTTATCACTTCTCTTATTGACATAAGCGATAAATGTGATCACCACTACATAAAAATTTTAATTAATAATAATTAATGCGGATTATTTCAGGAAAAATTTTGTACCAAAGTCCCTTTTAATCCCCTCTGTGGTCTAAAAGATGCCCTTTAGCCCATTGGTATTGTCAAAAAATGTTACTATTTACAACGTTCTTTATTAAAGGTTTGTTTCACCGTATCAAATTACTAATCTAGGTACTTGTCCTTCGAAACAAATCCATGTAAATACTTTTGAATAACGTTCGCAATAAAATTTTTATAGACTCTACTGAATCTGTTAGGTAGAAATGTTATTCTTTATGGTTGATGAACGTGTGATTGGTATTTAAATTAACAACATCGAACACGTTGAAAGGCATGTGTCCACTATATTATGTGGACAGTTTGACCCGTGGACACAAGCTGTGGTGCATGGATACAATACCGTTGGATCACAGAGACATAGTGCTATGCTCTATCTTATCCGGTTTCAATCCAACCAATCAACTTTCACTTTATCCGAAATTAATTAAATATTTATCTTTTCTTTAAAGGATGAATCCATTTAAAGGAAAAATCAATATCGCTACTGAATTTCTTAAATAATATGACAGTAATTTGATAATGAATGATGCCAAACAATTTACTGTTTAATTAAATCAACTTTATTAGAGACCGAACGTCTTGGAAGGTTCTTAATAGAAATTTTGTCACTAGTGAAGTTCTGTTACTACAAAAAAATACCACAAATGAACGAATGGTTAGATATTATTGCAAAATGTTTATCTTCTAAACCGACTGAACAGTTTTTGTCTGTATAAGCGCTGTCTGGGTGAAAAATTAAAGATTCCTGAAGACATAGTTCATTTTTCAAAACAAGAAACAATAACACAAATTAGTTTTGAATGAAAATAAAAGCGAAATGTAGACATTTTTGTGTTACGTTTTTTGTTGGTGTACAATCTTATAACCGAATTATTAATGATATTACAATGGTTCTAGTGCGTCCTATATACGATAAAACTATTTGCAATACATTATAAATATAATATTGTTGATAAGTACTGTCTTTAAGTTGATAGAGCAACATACTTCCTGAAATCCAAAGCCTTACTCTTGAAATATTTTTTACCATTAGTTACATAACAGTATTTCTCTGAAAATAAGTAATTAGTCTCCATCTAAAGATAGAAATGGTCAATTAAGTCGGTGCAATTGAATTAATTGTGTACATATTTCCATATTATGCATATTTCAATTTTATATAATGAAACGGCGCCAAAGAATTCCATATAATTAAGATTATTTGCAACATTAAATTAAAATATCAGCGTAAAAATTCATATGTACTTAATATATTGAATTGCAAATTAATTTATTAGTATTCTCCTTTCGAACACAGTGACAATTTTAACTGTAGGATTTTTTAACTGAAAAATCAAGGTTTGATAACTCTTCCATCTGATATTGCTACGAGTATAACTTGAAAAAGAATTAAGGCAGGTGGACTTCTTCCTCCTAGTAGGACCCTTGCATTAGGAAGTTTTCATAAACTATAATCTGAATTAATGGTACTATTCAGATGCAGTTATTTTGATTAACTTATTTTGTCAATTGGTTTTAAACCCAATATCTGAAATCTCTAAAGACTGTATGTATTCAATTTATAAAAACGAAAAACATGTTATCAATAACAATACTGAATATTAAACCATTCGTATTTAATTCACGTCAAGAAACGTCGTATTCGTAGCAGAGCGGACCGAATAATCATCTGCATAGTAGGTACCTACTCATGGCATCATTAAAGCAAGTCATTCATTATTCATGAATGAAAATGAGATTCATATGGGGTGTACCATTATAGTAGTTACTGTAGCAAGCAAACAAAAACTTTACGCTTTCGCTTTCCTTCCTATTTATCAGCTTTTATATTCACAGTTATTAGGAACCTTTTCTGCATGCAGTTAAATCGATTCATTTTAACTAAAAACCAGTTTAAAATCTCCTTCAGTACAGAGGTTACGAGAATTAGTTTGCAAGATATACTGATATATAGGAACTTGCCAAAATGCATATACACGACACTTCCCTTTAAAAATCGTGGGACCTTGAAACTGTCAAATATAGATTATTTTTTTATCCCCACTAACTACTAGTTATTGAACATAATATCTTTGTATTTCGAATAATAACGGAGCTATTGTGCTATGCACTAATATACCACATATGTATACTTATGCACACGTACAAACGAAAAATTATATTGAAAAATATTGCACGAAAGTTACCACTGAATCTAATAATATGCTGCTGCTAAAACTAACACGTACATATGGCAAACATCCATTTAATATTTGAATTTTCTTTCAGGCTATGGAATTCAGACTAGATGCATCATGCCTGTTAGGACGAACGGTAGTTATTCCAGGTGGTCGTGATAAAGAAGAACGCCCTCTGTTGTTAGTCACGATTCCAGCTGACTCTCCTCCACTCGATATAGTCCTTTCGCTTCAATACCTACTTTCCCTTTTCAGGTAATCTTATTTTAAATAATTTTACGTTATCAACTTAAATCTATTCAGTTAGAATAGGAACATTTCCCATTTTGCTTCATATTCAGTAGTAAAAATAGATGTAAAATATGGCATAGCATTTGAGCATAATGTGGGCAATTTTGCTAGCAAACTGCAAAGATAAATACAATTGTTTTCGTAATTCCCATAAACAATTCCAGCTTGCGATTCGTCAACAGAATGAAATATTTGCATTGGTGCTTCCTTACGGTCAAATTTAAGGAATTTAGATTCACAAAGATTTGGACTAGCCGTTACCACTGGTCGTTGTTGACAATGCTGACTTAGCCACGTAATAAGATATGAAATGTAAGGAGAATTTTGAAATTTTTGAGGAATACTAATAAAACAGACAAAAAATAATCCTACAATTTGTTGGTCGGAAAATTAACGGGCTGATTACCATATTGTCAGTTTAGACTTCGTGGGTCTTGAGAGACATATATATCTTCTTCAGAAAAAATGCTTAAGTTATCTGGTTTGTATTTACATTTATTGTGTGCACAGGTCCATGACGATCTGTTCCGTTTAGAGTCACTGGCCTGTGACATTCCTATTCTTGATTATTTATGTATCAGTCGTTCATTTAATAACATGTTATAGAAACATATTTACTGGCATATGTTTCCATCACTTCTTAATAACTTTTAGTGTTCACGTGTAATAAAATGTTTAAAGATATATTAGATTTGTTGTTGCTTTTCATTAAATTTTCGGTAACACGTCGAATAACGTTATTGGCAATATTATTTTGTAACAGACGAGCCTTAAGCCCTCGTCTTGGTTGAAATTGTTTAGATTCTTCTGGATTTTTACTGTTAGTCTTGGCCAAAACCTTTCGTCTCAGTCTACTGAGTGTCATGTGTTCCTAAATACTCTATGATGCTATTCTTTAGGTGTCTCTCTGATTAAAACACATTGCTCTTGCAGCTCTTCCTGAGAAAGCTTGGTTCTAACTTTGTGGGGATGCTATGGATGGTACTAATATTATGTTCATTTGGTGCACAATTTTGCTAATTCTACTGAATCCTTGTCTTCTATTCTTCCAAAAATATCTTAAGTCAAAATTCACTAGGATATTGTCTGACCCAGCTACACTCACTCTTAATTAGAGTGGTACCTTTGTTTTATAGAACTCTGAAATGCAATACAGTTGGAGTGTTCTTAAATCACTTAAAATCTGTAGTACCTTGAGGCTCAGATCGCTTTTTTTAATTGTCTCCATTTCTATACACCAGATCATGTAGTAGGTTCTCCACTGTGGCAATATAATATGTTCTGTTCAATATGATGATCGCATTTTTCTTATCTGTAGGAAATGATTATACTCTTTCCTTTCACACTTAAATAAATTACAGTGATTCCTTGACTGTTACAAGAATTTTTTCATAACTTAAAAATTATACCACACATGACTTAGCATTACAGACACTGAGGTTGAGAAATAATATACTATAAGAACGTATTAATCACTATGTCTTCATGTTTCATAATCTTGTTCTTTGCTAAACTATTTTTATCCCAGTAAATATTAAATTCGAGTCAAGGATTATTACAGACAGACCATATCCATAAATTTGAGTATTTGAATAAGAACGTTTTGAGAAAATCGGATTATTATTCACTGAAGGATTATGTTAATAAAGCGTTACAGAATCATGTGGTGTGCTTACATTTACCTGCAAAGAATGGAGACAAAACGCTATATATTTTTATACTTACTAAAAGAATCAAAATAAAAATTGATAATTCGCAGTAGCAAAATGAAATACCAAGTTTTAAAAAGGGAAATAATAAATGTAATATAGATTTTTTTTAATATTAGGCAATTTATGAACATTACATATGCATATCTCAATGTCGTAGGCATATTTACATTGGTTGGAGGATATAATTTAAATAATGGTTTTGCTGTTTCCATACTTTATATAAAACTTCGCGGTCGTTTCTGTGATTATACCTACCCACTTCAGCCATGCCATTAGGCTCATTTCGATTTTAATATACAGTGAGAGAAAACAGCCCGTGGCTGGTCTTTAATTCTTTAATGAACAAAATTGAAAGAAATGTTTTATAAAAACGTTTGTAACTTGAAATTTGCTTGAAACAATTTCTTGGTTATAGTAGGGTAAATTTAGTTTGAGCGCTATTGTACAGGGTGTCTAAAACTCGATAGTATGGGCGTTCTGTGAAGATACAAAAAATTTAAATAAAATTTGAAACACGTGGTGTTAAATGGGATGAGGTAAGCTCCATTTTCAATCGAAAGTATTATCTTTGGGACTTGACAGAAACCACTAATGACATCATCAATTATATTTTTTCCAGAAACTTACCCAAATTTTTTTCCTATTAAAAATATCTCTTTTTTTAACATTCAATTATTTTCCGACGACTACTTGATCCTTCCTAATTACTTGATGTGATTTTTAGGTGGTATTATTTGAGACTCTTTTTGACCAGTGCTTAAGCCTTCAAAAATGGTAAAAAGTGAACAAAAATTATAGTAGGATGAAACCCATTGGAAAAGGAAGAGAATATAACAGAAATGAAAAGAAAAATAATTTACGGGCGATCTGAGGTCGGGAAGGGGAAGGGGGTGAGTNACCCGACCTCAGATCGCCCGTAAATTATTTTTCCTTTCATTTCTGTTATATTCTCTTTCTTTCCAATGGGTTTCATCCTACTATAATTTTTTTTGGTTTCAAAAATTCTCGACCCTGGTCTATTTAGGACGATATTGCTTATAACTTTTAAACGGGAAGTACCTAATGGAGAATAAATTATATTATTATATTGAAACCACAAAATTACTGATTAGAAATTTTCACACGAGGATAATAACTGAAAAAATACTTCCGTATTGCGTGATGCAGCGAAGCTTTCCGTTATTACAAGTTAATTTTTATAATATTCAGGGTGCGCTTAATTAAAATTTCGCTGGCATTTCTTTTTATATTTCAAATTCATCTATTATTTAAATGATACAAATAGATTTATATCATTTGCATAGCTTTTCTGTTGTTTTCGGTTTTTTATGTTTTTATAGCAGTTGGCTATGTTCTACAACAAAGGCAAGTTTTATATTGATTTTAACTAAAATTTAAACATTTACTGGTATGTAATGATACCTTATATATGCTTTTAGATACCATTTTCAATTAAGAAAAATTTAATATATCATTTTGGCCAAAACAAAAAATTCTACACGGAACAACTTTCGCTTTGATAATCGACAGACAAGAATTAAGAATAACAGGACAGGGCAGGGTATTATAATTTACATCAAGATGAGTAATTAGCAACGGCCCTACCCATGAAAGGCTTTCTAAACGTATTCGACACAAAATTTATTTGTCAGTCAATAAATACACCGTTACAATTCGTAATACAGATGTCTGCCTACAGCAAATAAAAACTGGTTTACTTAATGTTATTGGAAATCTGTTAGAATGTATTAATAAAATTCGCGTCAACTCTCGCAACAACGCATACGAATAATGACCTATTTAGGTAAAGGTTAGAACTGCCTCAATTTACGTGGAATAAGTAACCAAAATTTACACATTATTTCGTGCTTCTTACAGGGCGGTTAAGATCAATCAGTTTTTTAATTTTATATTCAAAACAAAAGATACTAACAAAAATTTATAATCGAAGAAAAAAAGTTATTAGATAAGCGATGCATTAAAAACATAACATACAAATTGATGATCATAAAGTTAGAAGACATTCTACGAAAAAAAAAGTATAGGCACTTAAAATTGAAGTCGAAAAATATTTTAAGAATTAATTGAAAATTTTCATATTAGATACAGGTATACTTATATAAATTGTGTAACAATCTATCTATGGAATCGCACCTGACATATTTTTATTGCTTTAATTTCTATTATATCTACTCCTCAATTTTAATTGATTATATTTTATGTAACATACACCCAATCATACACCATTAGATTTAAAATTGCATGCATTGCATGTAATTACTATATATTTTTTTTTCTTTCAGCAAAACAAGTCGAACGAAAGGCATAACTGTAATAATAGACGCAAGGAAAGGACCTTGGAAAGTGGCTAGATCGTGTATTCGTCAAGTCTGTACAGTTTGCGGTACGGAAGAATTGGCGCAGCTGATAGTGCTGAGACCGGATGCTTTTTGGGATAAGCAAAGAGTGGAAAACTGTACTTCTTCACATAAGGACAACCAGGTGCGTGTATTAAAATATTTTAAATTAGTCATTTGGTATTACAAGGAAAAAACTAGTGCTTAACGTTTATGTTTGAAATCAATAGGTTTCGTCATAGTTAAAAGCTATAAGAATATATGTTTATGACAAATTTTTAGAAAATATATTATGTTGAATTGAGGATATGTTTATTTAGTGGACCTTTTAAATAATAAACGCTTTCTTTAGTCAAGAGCATAAATATATTATAATTCTAAATTAAGTAAAATTATTTCACTTAAATGAATAAACCTTAAATGAAGAACGAGTTTATGATCCATCTGAATATAACAACTAAATGTATTCTTGAATAAGATAATAAATTTTGTCTGTGCACTATCCATGCATAAAGAAATGTAAACTCATACTTAAAATAGTATGATTATGTATTATAAATATCACCCCACAATATATTTTCTTATTTTTGTTAATGTTAATTAAGAAAGTTGTAGGCATCAACTAGAAATGTTTTATGATGACACTGAATTCTGCATATGTTTCTTCAAAAGGCATATGACCATCTAAACTTATGATATTTTGAATGGAACATTTTATATATTATGTCCTATTTAAATAGAACATACTTTTTTGGGATTGCAATGGTATAGGTTGGTTTAGGTTGCTCATGGGTAGGCTAAAAACTAGCTTTCCACATTGACCGTGTGGTCTGTTGTGGTTCACCCTTAAAATCATATTTCACCCAAAAGGTTAAACCTGATAAAACCAGTCACCTTATCATACTAGGTTTTATCTAGATCCGCTGACAGAAGATGTACTTTGTATATTCTCCTATATGTAGATACACAAGAAGTGATCTGATATTTCCTCACTCTCTAAGCATAACGGATATGTACCTAACCTCTACGCTTGTGTCAGTTAAACAACAATACCAAAAGGTTTTTGGGTCTCCTTTCTTGATGGGTCTGTTATAAACATCCTCCATTAAGCAATATTGGCAGCTTTTACCAGTTTTTTCTCGCATCCTACTCTGGAGGACTGATTTGACAGAAGCTATTAGTACCTACTAATAGTTGATTTTGATTCTATAAAGTTCGAGGCAGCATCCTTTCCAGCTACGTAGACTATAGTTTCATTCTCTGGGAGACCTGACTAAGTATACAAACCAAAGTTACTCTGTTATTATTTTTAAACCATCCCACAGTTTTTTGATAGTTCTTCAATTACACCGGTAATATCCAAGAGCTTCTTAACTGTCCGCAAAAAATGTACATTTACATGTAGATTACCAGCCTCAATACATACATCTCGATAGCATAGATTTCTGTATGAAAGGTAGTACATAGGTACCAAAATTTACATATATGTATGTAGCTAATCCTACGCTTGCAACTTTGTAATCCATTTTCAACGCTCTTTTGAAGCCATTTGTGTATCCAATAATCAATTGACGATTTTGTTAAGGTTATTATACGCATTTATTCCCGATAGGAAGATATATGACACTTTAATTAGATAGAGATTTTCATAGATGTAACAAAATTAATGCTTAAAAAACAAATGTCATCCACCAAATACCATTTTGGACCATTTGGCCCTAAATTAGTGGAACATCATTTGTAGTAGTTCATCAGTATCGAGAGGTTGATAGACTGAGATAGATTGGTGGACTGATTGGCTATCTTTGCGTAACACTTTTTTCTTATAACATGATAAAGGTAATGATAATAATTTATACAAGCTTGCGTATTCGAATGTCAATATCTTCCTATTGGGGGCCGTTGGTAAGACCCGGGGAATGAAACTAAAAATGGTCATGTGCCATTTTGAGACCAATGTTAGCCTATGGGGCTGGTGTCTGGTGGCCGAAAGTCCAGCAGACGATAGCTAAGCAATAACTCAGCCAGGTACAAAGGATTGCCTGTCTGAGTATAACTGGAGCTATGCGAACACTGACCATTGCAATGGAGGTAATTTTTATCTGTCACCTCTTAATATTTATCTTTGGATTTGGCCTCAAGAACGTTGGTTTCAAACTGGATGTAGGATGTGGAGAAGTTAGGAGTCGCCTATGGAATGGGGTAGTCAGGAAGATGCCCCTTCTGCACTACTACTGATAGTATTTCTCCTCAGTTTGCATAGCAGACCGCCGACGAGGATGTCATCAACGTCTTGACGGACGGATTAAAAAAGAGGGAAGGTGCAGGATGTGGAATTTATCCTAGATCCCTGCATATCCGATATCAGTGGTCAATGGATGTGCATGCTACCGTGGTACAAACGGAATTAACAGGTATAANAGTCACCTTATCATACTAGGTTTTATCTAGATCCTCTGACAGAAGATGTACTTTATCTGATATTTCCTCACTCTCTAAGCATAACAGATATGTACTCAACCTCTACGACCAGACTCAGCTTGTGTAAGTTAAACAACAATACCAAAAGGTTTTTGGGCCTCCTTTTTTGATGGGTTTGTTATAAACATCCTCCATTAAGCCAACATTGGTAGCTTTTACCAATTTTTCTCGCATTTAAGTCTGGGCGACTGATTTGATGGAAGCTATACTAAGAGTACTTGATTCAATAAAGTTCGAGGCAGAAATTTTTCCAGATACGCAGACTAACGTTTCATTCTCTGGGAGACCTGAATGACTAAGTATCCAAACCAAAGTTACTCTGTTATTATTTCCAAACAATCCCACAGTTTTTTGATAGTTCTTCAGGTACTCCGGTAAAATCCAAGAGCTTCTTAACTGTTCGCAAAAAATATATATCTATCTGCGTGTAATAATTTATACAGACTGACGTATTCAAATGTCAATATCTTCCTATTGGGGACCGTTGGTCAGACCTGGGGAATAAAACTAAAAATGGTCATGTGCCATTTTGAGACCAATGTTAGTCTTACAGGCTGGTGTCTGGTGGCCGAAAGTCCAGCAGGCGACAGCTAAGCAAAAGCTCAGCCAGGTATAAAGAATTGCTTGTCTGAGTATAACTGGAGCTATGCGAACACCGACCATTGCAATGGAGGTAATACTATGTCTGCCACCTCTGGATATTTATCTAAGAGAAGTAGTTTTGAGAACCATGCTTCGCCTCAAGAACGTTCGTTTCAAACTGGATGTAGGATGTGGAGAACTTAGGAGTCGCCTATGGAATGGGGTACTCAGGAAGATGCCCCTTCTGCAGGTAGACACTGACAGTATTTCTCTTCAGTTTGCGTTTAGCAAACCCTACACAGTACTCATTAGCAGACCGCCGACGAGGATGTCATCAACGTCTTGACGGACGGATTAAAAAAGAGGGAAGGTGCAGGATGTGGAATTTATCCTAGATCCCTGCATATCCGCTATCAGTGGTCAATGGATGTGCATGCTACCGTAGTGCAAATGGAATTAGCTGGTATAACCATAGCCGCCAAAGAAATTGCCCGTAGGCGCACTGTGGGTAAAACCATCAGAATCTATACAGACGGTAGACAAGCGTTACTGATCTTACGTAATCGTAAGATAATGTCTAGGTCAGTATAGGAATGCCACCAAACACTGGTCGTGACAAACAGCATATCTGTATGCTGGGTCAATGGTCACAGGACTTGCAATGCCAATAAAAAAGCTGACAAGCTAACCAGGAGTGCATCGGGATTCAATATTTTCATACCCGGTTCCTCCAGTGTACTTCCACTGTCAGCACTCGATGAAATTATCAAGGAAAACACCCACAAAGAGTTTACAAAACTGTGGGATGAAACAAATAGCTGTCAATTTGCTATGGAGTTTCTAGAATACCCTAGCAAGGCTACAGCCAAAAAATACCTGGCCAATCCTAGGCCAAATCTTCGCCTGGTGACAGGTATCCAAACTGGGCACTGTTGACTAAGATAGAAATTTCACAACATGAGAGAGTGTGAAACACTTTTTTGTGGGGGTTGTGAGCAGGAAGACGAGACAGTACTACATGTGCTATGTGAATGCACTGCCGTCTTGTCAAGAAGAGAATCCGTGTTGAAAGAACGTTGGCCTTCTATGGCCTATATTAGAGAGTTCCCCCTACAACATTACCACGTCTTTCTTTTTAATAGTTGGTTAACGATTCAGATGGATTGATCTCCTAATGGGGGAAGTACAAAGGGTCCAATAGGGTCTAAGTGTTGTGGCTTCTAAGCTACCCTCCCTACAATTCCAGATTCCAGATTGGAGATACATCCACCAAACCTTATCAATCCTGAAAAAGAATCATGATCAAATATATTTGAAGTTTGCCTAACGCTTTACTCTTTCGCCATACTATAATAAACAGGTCCTTTACCATGACAAGTAGACTCATGAAACCATACACGATAAAAAAGTTCTGTTTGTCTTGGCATTTAAAACCCCTAAAATTCAATATCATCATAACAAACTTCTAATTGACACCCACAGCTTCGGTGTTTAGCATGTTTTAATTAAACATAGAACAGTTATTTATAACGCGGTACATTATAATCATATATTTTTCAATACTATTATAATAAGTAATTCTAAGAAAATTATCCACATACATACCTCCTTTTTTCATATATCTGCATACATAGAGAAATATCAGAAGTTAATACATACAATTAGAATTTGTAAATTGTAATCAGTTTATTTTCCGAAGACCGTTGTTTATGCGATATACATTCCATTCGGAGCACCAATAGATAACTATAATGTAACGACATCATACAATTACAAATAGCATATCATAATTTGCGTTTTATTTACCTGTTCAATATTTATTCGCTACTATTGTGCTCTATTTTAGTCGTTCTGATTAGCTATGACAGTGACCGTATCAAGTTAGGAGATTAATTTTATGCATTTATGTCAACTTGATAAAATGCTTTCATACTCGTGGAAGGCATGTGCTAACGCCCCGATCAAGCATTAAACTAGAAAATAAATAACTATAACGAAACTGGATTGTTTACTGCTTCGATTGACGATAGACTACTTATTACGGCATTTATTGAGCAGCATGAGGTGGTACTTGACAGTTGT